GAATTTCGAAAATCTATTTTAATTGAAAGAAACTAACAGGTATTGGACACGTACATGCACACACACACGCACGCGTATTTCTGCTTTTTTTGGATCCCTGGTCAAAATTTCATTTCCAGGACCCTTGAAGAAGAATCTTCTCAGTCGAATCCGTCAAGTTGTAGAAGCTGTAAAAAATAGACCCAAAATGACGCGCAAAAAGCGTAAGAATTGTGTTCCGTAGGATCAAATAACTGTAAACGATTGAAGAGAAGAAATGGAATAAAAAAGCCATTAAAAATGAGAAAAGAAAAATACAGTTTATTTGGAAGGCTGTTGGAGAAAAAATTTTTTGGTTTTCCTAAACAAAATCTAGTTGGAACACTTCACCTGAAAAAGCAGATATTAATACAAAGCGCGATTCTCCAACTAACTTTTCCAGTTACTCTGACCAGTGCTGCATCACTTGATGGTTAGCCTACCCATGATCCTGACCAAGCGAGGTTTTTACCTTGATCTTCCTTATATATCCTTAGTTTTACAACAAATTAGAGATTTTTATGCCCTGTTTCTATGCTAAACCGGGAGCATGAAGAGAGGGGGAAGCTTTTATATCTTGAACTGTTCGCGCCTTATAATTTAACTTGATGAAAACGCGGTATCACATCACAAATCGCACATTTGTTATTAAACAGGGAATTTCTTTTTCTGCATAAGTTGGTTTAAGCAAGACACTGTCCGAGTGTTGTGGGCGGAAAGTTGGAGTGGGGTAGGATGGATTATAACAAGGTAGAAGCAGTGAAAATTAGGAAAGTGAATATTGATTAAATGCGGCGAGTAATAAAGATTAAGTATTAAATAAAAAAAATAGGAAGTATAAATAAACAGAATATCATTACGGAGCCACAGTTAGAAGCATAAGCGGAATTTTTTATAAAACTCGTCAAGATGGAGTTATTTGGCAAGTCTTAACGAAAATCTAATAATTTTTGGTGAAATTTTCAGTTTCTGAAAGAGTACGGGGCTGAGCTGGAGCACAAAGTGCATGAGGTGGGCGAGGAGAAGAAGAGATTGGAAGGGATTCTGTGTGATCGGCTGACGCAGCTCAATGATAACAACATCAAAATACGGGTAAGTGGTGGTTTCCATTCCTCTTTTCACTTTTTGGGCGCCTAATTTTCCCAGAGCTAGGGATCTGAGCTTGCAAATTCCATTCAAACAGCTTCAGTAAGAAAGGATTTGATTTTAAGCTAGGAACGATAGGGTAGTTGTTTACAGCGCCCTGTCTCTAGGATCCAAAGCCTGAATTCCATCAAGCCAAGGATAAATTTCTTAGCGATTTCCCGAGAATTCGATGCTCACGTGATCGATACTGTGGGGGTAGTAGAAATAATAGACCAACAGGATTGTGCGCAGGCGTCATGTGCAAGGTGGTATTTTATGATGCAAACTGTTTTTATCCTTTGGTGCAGTGGGGCGATATTTTTCGATGCAGTCTATGTTTCATCCTTTAGCTGTAAACACAGAACCAGTGTCAAGGAGATAGTTTTCTTTTTGTTACAGAGGCAATGAATTTAAGTGGCGCCTTTTTTTCTTTGCCTAATCTAGAATCGGCTGTATTTGAGTCACTATATTATTGAGTAGAAATGCTGAACTCGTGTAAAATTATGTTAAAAACTCCTGTAAAATTGTCAATTTCCAGAAATAGATAACATGAGCCTATTGCATTACTGAACTGACTGACTGAAAAACTAAACTTGTTACAAATTTAAGTAGTACAGAAATGCACCTGTTGGGCCGAACAAATTCTTGTTATCGAACCGAACCTGAATTTTAACGTAGTGAACCAGTTCTGTCGATAAATCATGAGAAGGAAGATTCTCAAGTAATCATTCATTCATTCATTTCTTAATTGGATTTGGCGATTATAGCTGGAAAGAAAGTCTCCGCAAGTAGTTGGCACTTATTGTGGTTCTCTGTTTAGGAAAACCTCCCAAAACTTCCCATATCACAGTGGCTTAACCTTTTTTCCGCTCATTCCCGCTTCTTTTCTCTTCCCAAAAAAAGAGAATTACATAAGCCTCTTTTCCATCACGCTAATCCCCCCTCCTTCCAAAAAAAAGAAGCGAAACTGTTTAAATAGCTATCGCCAATCGATTGGTTGTGCCGATTTTTTGTGCAGATTTTTTGTATTGGCATATTTTCTCGATTTTTTATCCATTGTCAGTTATGGATTTTTAATCCATTTATAGTCACACATCTTTCTATTATTTTCACTACAATTATTTTATCGAAGAAGTTCAGCTGTGATATTAAAACAAGACATATACGACTTAATGGATCGGAACACACCAATTTTGCTCAGATTTCGTCTTTTTTATTTTTAGCTTTAAAAAAATTCCTTTGACTAAAGTCACGATTCTTCAGTTTCAAAATACTCTTTTTTACAAAATAAAGAGTGTTTGAAATGATGAATTACAGAGTCTCGAGGAGCAGCTGCAATCAGCGCTCGATCGTAGCACGCTGGGTGAGCTTTCCCGTGCTGACCTTGATGGTATCATCAGTCGCGATCTGGACAATATCCATTCACAGCTTGTCCTCAAGGTTATCCAGCAAAATTTTTCTTTAAATTCACATTTTTTGTTTAGAATTTTGACCGATTTGGGCACTGATGATGTCCAAAATAACTAGAACTAGTATATTTGACTGAAATGAAAAACATCCTTAGCTGGCATTAGGCTGGACAGCCTAAGCTACATTGGCGCCTGTGTATCCTTCCTTAGCTTACTTCACGGGGAAGCAGTGAATTCAGGATTTTGTACGCTATTCTTGGATTTTCGAATACGTCTGATACTAAAAAAACTTGTAATTCGCTAAGATTACAGGCCTATTAAGTGTTTTGCATCTTATCCTTCCGAACTCCGGGCATAAAAATGAATCAGTTTGGGAAGTAATTTGCTTAGACTATTTCAGCGTCTATTAATTTTTGCAGTATTTTTCAAGAATTATTGTGTTTTTTAAAAAAAAATCTCCAAAAATTTCGAATTAAAAAAATTATCCATAAAGTTCATTCACAGATTTTTATTGAATTTTTAGGACAGGAAAATAATGGAATTAAATAACACGATACTAGAAAAGGAGAGACATATTCTTGATCTGCAAGAAATGTGCCGTGAGCAGGACGAGCTCGCCAGGGCCAAAACCAAAGCTTTTCAAATTGTACAGCAAAAGCTACTGGTACGTCTTAATTTGGTAATAAAAAGTTGTTTTTCTGAGTTACTCGTTCCTTACAGGAATCCTGGTTTATGTTGAAATTTCAAATATTTCAGATATTTGTCAGAGTTGAAGCACAGCCAAATTCTTGCGAAAACACAGTATTTTACCGCACTTTCAATACGTATTTTGCTGCTGATTGCATATTTCGCTCTTTTTTTAAAGTTGCATTTTATCGATCTGATCTTTCTGTTACTTATTTTTTTAGGAGGCACATATTTTTTTTACTTTTTTATGGATGCACATCATTCTGCCGCCTTTCTGTTTTGGTCTGCACAACCCTCCTCCCTTGAATCGAGACATTCCACAACATTTCTTATATTCTGTTGCTTCAGGATAGCCCCAACTCGAACCATTCTTCTGCCTTTGCTCCACGATTTGTAACTCTGGTTTCTTTAATTTCCAGAAATTCCAGGATTTAACTTCACGAACGACGCGCGAAGATTCCACTGAAACCGATACAGCATATTTGTTTGAATCTCCGTCCTCCACAACTTCATCATCCACTTCGCCGCATTATCAGAAAATTCGGCGTCATCAGCGTGAATCAGCGTCTCCTGGACATGCCGTGTTAAATTTCAAGACAGGTCTCAGTTACTATGAATAATTTTTCAACTTTATAATATTAAATTCAGATTCATTTCATTTTTAAAGAATCGATAGATGTCTAAAGCACTGTGAATTATTCTGATGCCTTTGTGAATTGTTTGTCTTATTAGGCAAAAAAAAAGCTTGTAATCGAAATACAACCAAAATACATGATTTTTTGGGGTTTGTTTCATTTTCTCACAAGACACTGAATGCCACGGGTGGTGTTACCCAAAGTTTCCTGACATACTAGAATTTCAGGCAACTCAGGTTCACCGCCACCACTCGATCCTAGCGAAGAACAGAGCTCGATAACCTTGGAAACAGCAACCAATGCAGATGAATTCGACGCCGATGACAGCAACGGCGCTTTTAGTTATCAGAGAAAAAAGCAGCGTAAAAAAGTAACGTTCGATTTACCACCGCGAAAGGAGCTCAACAACAACGGTAACGGTTTTTTTTTTTTGGATTAAGCATTAAATTTATTAGATGATAATTTATCGCAACCTCGCCATCAACTTACTTGTAAGTAATCTTCGAAAAAGGCAGCCATTTACAGCCTTGCCAGAGGAGGATTACTGCGCTTGTATTTGTTACTTACGGCTACTTCTGTATACTTCCGTCTGTCATTAAAAGGGGGTACGGTGCTGGTTTTTACTTTTAACTAAGTGTTTCAGAAATTTTAAAAATGCAAACAGTGAATATCTCTGGTTAGAGGACTGTAACTCCTCGTGGCATGTGGACATTACACGAGCGATAACTTGCAGCGACATGCAGGATGTTATTGCGAGCATTATGCTTGCATTGATAACGACTGGTAGATTGTGTTACTAGTTAGTGGTGTGCGAGGAAAGAACCGCCAACGAAGAGGGAACAAGAGGGCATCTCGACCAGACTGAAAAATGAGTCCCAAATTTTGATTTACGCTCTTATTTTCTTAAGAGGTGCCTACTGTAGTGAAGGCAGACATCGAGCCAGCAATGTTTTTTTGAACATTTCTTCGATATTTGGACATATTTTGGTCATTGTTGGGCATTAACATTTTTTCTTTTAAATTTTCGATTTTTCCTTTTAATTTCTGGAGCACTTTTTTTTAAAAAAAATGGCTGTTTTTTCAATTCTTATTTTTTTACAAATAAAAAAAAAAAACAGGTGAGGAAGTGGACGATAACATTGCGCAGGCAATCATTGATTTGACCTCCGAGAACGACCAGTTACGACAAACAATACAGGAAATGGAAAGATGTGCAAATGAGACGCAGAGTCGTCTTAGTCAGGTGATTTCCCTTTTCCTGTAAATGCTAAACCATGAACGCAAAACCACGCAACTTTTGAATCTGTGTGAAAATACCAAAACTTTCTTTTTTGCTGTTTTCAGGCTTTGACAGACACGAAAATACATGAACAAGCCATCCCCCTCCCCTGCC